AGTTCAGAATATTATGAAATTTGAACCGATCACCCCCAGTAGACCACAACCTACTATGATGGCACCTACACTAAGTACTGTTGTCTGCTCTTCCAACTTCACGAGTTCGAGCTGTTGTCGCTAGGATGCATGTTTTTGTAAGCATACATGGGGAAGGAGAGGAGCATTAACACCTTGGAGCCCACGTATTGGCCCTCCGACCGCATAGGACCTTTCAGCCCGCATTTCGGAACTGTTATTAGGTTTTTCATTCATTTTCTTTTCCATTTTATCCAATAAGATTTCTTCTGCATTACACAGTGGGTTCCTAAAAATCTCAACGATGTCCCGCGCGGCCGCGTAACGTGAAAACAAGCGCGATCTCCAAAGTGTTAAAAAAGTGTCAGCGTCCCTCCATATTAAAACGGGACAATTACACAAAGCTAAGTTTGAACCGATTGCACCCAACTGACAATGAAGAGCACATTGACTCCATCCAAATACTTCACCATAGCCGTCTACACCGACAGCACCAGAAGATTTCCTCACAGGAACATGGCCTGCGGTTCAAACTGAACGATGTTCCCGGCGGATCGTGGGCCATTACGACTTTCTCTTGAGATCTGGCGGTAGGATCGTACATAATCAGAGCTACTGTCTCTAGGAAGCTATCCGTAAGTTGCTCGATTGAAACAAGGTATGGCGCAGCTTCTGTCTAAAGCTATCCGTAATCTTCCTCGAGCTCAACGGTAGTGGCAGATGATGTCATATTCTGAGAACGGTAAGAGCAGTGATGGAAAGCCGGCTCCTGCTTATTGTGCTGCTTATGGGAGACATTTGTGAAATTTTTTTCCAAAAATTCCATTAACCGAGGCACCCTGCGCGACGAAAGGATTGGACGTGAGCCATGGGCGAAGTGACTTTTTTTGCCCCTTTGTTTGGGTCTGACACCGGCTAGGTATGGATGACTTGTTTCGCATTTACTCTGCAATTGGACACCGTGTAAGCGACTATCCACATACAATACACACAATAGCGCTGGTGCCTGGGGCTAATCACTGTCATAGCCCCTATTCAACACCTTGGGATGGCGCAGAGTGTACGGTACTATCCTCATCTGCAACATCACGAACCATCCTCGGTACTGGTGTACCCACGCAAACCTCTTAGCCCAAGTTATCGAAGGGCCTATATTGGAGCAGGGTAGGAAATATGGTATCAATCTGTGGCGTAATCTAGTTATATCATTGCCAACAGTTGTTACCTGCTCTCACTGAATATGGTTGCTCACGAATTTGATAATCTTCTTCAAACGGCTCCTGAGGAAATCGACTCCTACAGGAACATAATTTGATCTTTACCCCATGCTCATCTTCGAACGGTGGTCCTCTCAAATAGAGTTGGGCTCTGCATAACTGAGTTCTTAACTCAACACGCCGTCTTTCTGATGAACTCAGCATTCGGAATAGGTAAATTAAACCTTTTTGAAGAATTTTGTCTTTGATAAATTGCTCTGAGTTCCTACACTCACCTCTACGAAAATCAATGGAGAGGGAAGACTGGCGCTCACTCGGGGTCAATTCACCGCTTTCACTTCCTTCTTTGCTAGTTCCTTCAAAGAATCTGGTAAATGTTTTTGAGTATTGTTGAAGAAGCACCAGATCATGCTCGAAAAACTCCGAAGAACTTCTGATCGGTTATCTTTTGCACCGTTCGCGGCCCGTACTAGAGTTCCTCGACATTTTTCAACTTCATCTGTAAATCCGAGAGAGCTAGCAGTTTCTGCGAAATCCTCAAAAAATTCTCACAATTTTCACTGTGCCTACTGCTGTTCTGTGCCGCAATCCACTGTCGTCCTACCTCATTCCTCAAAGGGAGTGAAGTTTTTAAAAGAGGGAACTAGGAGTTTAAATCAACAGGACACAATTCATTGTAGCAACTCACTTCTAAAACTAGTCCGGAATGGGTATTCGTTATGTCACAATACAAACCGGCCAGCGAGGCGTTGCTTATATCTTCCGTTAGTGCATCCTAAATCAAACCGCATGCTAAGAATAAAAGCACGCCAATGACTCACCACTAAGCAGGATCTGTACATCAACGAGAGCATAGTGGATTTCGGAGACGAATGCACTACGGAGTGATGATAGCAATCTGAAAAAACGTAGATAACACTTTGATGGCATTGATCAAAATCGTAATTTCACCTTGGTCACAGCTTTCGGGCGCTTGTACTCATCATCTTGATTGAACCAGATCCGACACCATGCATCGTCATGTATAACGCACGGATACTCGCTGCCATTAACACTTTCAACGCATAAATACGTACTCAGAAAGCTTCATTTAATTAATAAGGATCCAACGTCAAGCGTCATTGTTCACCGAGGAAGGAGGCGTTGTGAATTTTAGATGAGGTCATGTTTGAATAGTTGCAAAGATCAAGTGCGAAGTTGAAAATGCCATTTTGGGTAGAGAAGTTCGACAGGAATGTGATGCGCGTGTGACAGAAAGCCGTAGGTTTATCGATGCTGGCAGCGTTGGAGGAGGCCATGGGGGAAGTGGTGTGGGGGACTATGGCCACGCAGCAATGCTATCCGATTTGAAATTTGTCTCAACGTGGGGCTTCGCTCGGCGTGCATCAGAGTTACCTAGTCCATCCATTTACGACTATGGAGGCAGCAAAGGTTGACACGTTTGGAAGGAACTTTTATGAACAATTACCATTTTCATTTTTTATTTTCCGGAACGTTTTTTGAATGGAAAATTATGAAATCCGCCAAGCTCCTGATACTGCGCTAAACCTTAGGTCATTGGTATCCCCTCATTTATTTTACGTGAGAAACTTCAGCTGACTTCCTTAATTCGGCCCTACACAAATTAAGACGTCTACAAAATATGAACGTTAAAAATTTGGTGGGGTTGTTTACAGTTTCATAAAGTCTATCCCGTTCATATTGGCGCTTGCGCCAGAACGATTACTCAATTGTATTCGTGATTACAGTCTCGGTAAACATGCTATGCATCAATTCACAGTTGTAGTAATACCATCTGTTGGAGTAAAATGGGCTCAAGCTCTAAAAATATGTGTCATGGTCGCGGTAAGGGCAACTTTGTTCTTCAATGCGAAAGGTTCCAGAGAAAGTTATTGGCTTCCTCTACTTGTTCCCAACTCAAAAAAGTTCGCAGGGGGCAATGTCAACTACCAATGATCGTTGTTTCGCATTTGCCTGAAGTACACTAATTGCAAATGGGTTGAAAAAGAATCCACAAAGGTGCTTCACAAGAATGCTGGGTTGTGAACAAAACTTTCGCCCCAGGCGGGACTAGAACCCGCACCTCTCGCTTTCCGGGCAAGTGCGCTACCAGTTACGGGGCACCATTTCATTCCAACTCAGCTTTTCATGGTATACGTACCATAGCTTGTCAGCACTCACACGTGTTGAGCCGGTTAGCCGATATCGGCAATGACCGCGAGGCTGAAAGCTTTAGCAATGAATTTTGACTTGTTTTTTTGTTTGTTAACTGCTGTTTTTGCCGCAGTTCGCCTTGCGAATGTTTCACAAGAATGCTGGGTTGAAAAAACAATTCACAAAGAGTTAGTCGTGAGTTATGTCTCCGCAAAGGAAAGCGGTGGTACTGGCCAATGTATCCGCAATAAAGAAGGCTTGCTGATAAATTTCATAGCCCGATTTCAGGACGATTCCAAGACCCGTGTTACAATGGGTAGAAGCTGGCGAAGGAGCGAGAGCGCGAAAACTGGAGAAAAATTGGTGGGCTATTAGAAGAAAGCAGTCAAATGCTATTGATAAGCGGGTCATGCGCTGAGGGAAACTTCGACTGCGCGCAAACGAAATCATAACAAATTTGCTGCTCGTGCAACGGTGTGAGGCCAAAAATAGATAGCACGTATGACACTGAAATCGTACTGTCAAATCGGTTCAACGGAAATAGTTATTATGATAATTAATTTTGTACCAATACATGGATACGCATACTAATAGACAGAGGTATATTATTGTTTTGAATATTATACATAGGATCTTGCTGCCGAACTGGAAACCTTTTTTGAATTAGTAGGTTTTTAGGTACAAGGCGAGGCCTGGTTCGCTGAGCGGGAGGGAGCCTGAGAAATAGAACCGCAGCTGCCTTGCCACCATTCAAGCAGCTAAGAAGATTCTCTGCTAGCAACAGTCACCTGCACAGGTTTATCTCCATCGCAGCCGCTTGTAAATTACGCCTTTAAGCAACAGTGTCTTACCTAGGGCCTAATGATTGCACCAAGGTGACAGAAGTTTTCTAAACCGGGCAAGTGACAAGTAACGTATATTATACTCGTCCCATTCAACCCGCTTCTTACCTTTTCCTCCTAACTCTCCTAGCAATTATTTAGCTACTTCATCTTCTCCATTCTTATGACAAAATGCACACACGTAAAATGCATACACGCCTATACACAGGGGATTAGCTCATACAACATGGTGGTGATAGTGATAAATTTTAAGTTCGTTCGTTTGTTCGATAGAAAAGGAACGTTTCGAAATGCTTTACGTGTTGTAGCGTCCCTTGCTTGAGTTTGCAAACTGGTGGCGATGTAGTCGTCTTCGATGGGCAAGATGAAAAGCGTGTGGATGTCTTTCTAAGTCACTGGGCGAACATTAGTCATTGTCTCCTTGTGGAAAAAATTAAAGCGCAGAATTGTAAAATTCAAGATTTCCGCAGTAATTAGTAGATTTTTCATGAAGCGTTGTTCATTGCTTCATAGTTTCCTATTTCCATGCATACGCATAACCTTCACGTCATCAAAAGGTCCTCCACAAGGACCACAGCGATGCTGGCCACTTTTAGGTGCTTTTATAGGTGCGACGAGACATACATTTGCAGCATGTCGCAATTTGTGGCACTTGATCCACCCCTTTCAGTTTCCTACCCACTGATTCAAACGTGTGCTATCGCGCCGTGCTTGTTGATTCAATTTCCTACTCTGAGCTAATCTCGAATGAATTACCGTCCCACCTTTCAGGGCGCAGCATGCGATAAATTGCACTATGCTATGCTACGATGGCGATACAGATCCCAGTTTTGGGGCTATGCTGTGACAATGGAAGAGAGGACGTTGATGGCACATAAACTTGTCAGCATCGACACCGTATTCACAAGTGATCGCATGCTTCTCGCATTCGATTTCTCGTCGCAGATACTTCTATCATAGTAAATAACCTACGTCTTCTATGTCTATAACTCTCAATTCCGTACCATACATCGGCTCAAGAACATGTCCTTCTTGACCGGTGTATTTTTTGGCAACAACAATGTAGAACATGTTTTGCGGAGTTAGCATCTTAACGACCTCCATAATTCGATCTGAAATCAGTCATTGTCAAGAATCTCAATAAGGAGTACAAAAGGCACTTATTCTTCTCGTTGCACTTGTTCAAGACGATCAGTTCTTGAAAACTGCAGCAAGAAGAAGTGGCCTCTATCTTAAGAGACGAGAGTAAGGTTCAGTCGGAACAGGGCTAGATTTTGTATTCAGTGGATGCAGATAGGCGCATATGAAGGGATCTGTCACACCGTGCTACTATATACCCATGACGTAACTGTGAATTCGCACAGGTTGAATCCCTCTAGTCACTCAGGTAAGAAGCTTGTCAAAATTTTGAGTAAATAAAGTCGTAATCTAAAAAATTGTTAGTTCGTTGTTGTTAATGTATCATTTCAATAAGACTTACAATTTTAAAAAGAAGTCTTCTAAGGTATTGCATCTACCGTATTATTACATATCATACATATATATCATCTGTCGCCTTGTTGCTCATGGAATTCCTTGAGCGCAACGTATTGGCCCGTTTTTCGCCATACCAGAGTAGAATCAATTAACTTTAATGGGACATGACCAGTTCATTACTTGCTTGCT